ACATAAACCAGGTGACCCAGCACCACGTTGATGAAATTGCCGCCACACTGAGCCAGCACAGCACAGACCTTGGATCAGTGATGGAGAGCAATGATCAGGTATGTAAGAAATTGCAGTTACACCAGGATGCTTTGTTGAAGATCGCAATCTTGCCTATGCCAGATTCGTTCAAGGAATATTTTTTCAACACACTCGCAGCTCTGGTGCAAAAATACCCACAATACTTGAGTAGACAACGTTTTTCTTCCACATACCTAGCCTATTTCTCCTTCTATACCTGGATAATAATGTTGGAAGGAAGGGACGACACGAGAAGTAATCGACTCGGGTTGGCTGAAGTGAGTAATCACACAGGAAGTTTAAAGGACGTTCTTGTTGAGAGGGGAGTTATGTTGATAGACAATGACCAATCTTCGGAACTAGCAAATCGCCTGTTGAGAGATTATGTTTTGTCCCTGCGAGCCGAATACTTCTGGATTGAACGCATAAGTAAGAATTGTGCGCTAAGCGGCATTGACGGGCGCAGATATACCTACAGGCAGGTGCGAAAGGGGGGAGTTAATGTATTCTGTAACGATGAGCACATCTCGATAAGAAAACACATTCTACCTGGTTGTAAGGTATGTAAAACGCATGGTAACCCGGTGGGAAATTTTCTTGTTTCTGTTGTCGCTCACGAAATTGGTCACAACTACGTAGAATACCCTGAGGTGAAGGCGAAGAGGCTCTTGTTGATGAAAAGAGCCTTGCTAGGTAGTCCGGATATTTTCTGGAAAGATAACAATCGCTACGACTCTACGAAAACGCAGGAACATTTTGCAAGCAAAGGTTGGTTCAATCCCGGTTCCGATAATTGGAACTCGATTTTACATGCCTATTTCAATGGACAGTTCATTCCTGAAGCTGCTCAGTACCAATATCAGATCATCACTGATGTCAACCCAAGCTACGTTGTGCTAACTAATCCCCAGGAATTCTTCGCTTCAATCGCCCAATGCTTCTCTATGGACTCCAAGATGCTGATGGACATTGCTGTCGAACGTTTTATTAGTACGCCATCATACAAAGAGTCCATAAATCAAATTTTGTTCTTGGTTGAGTACTACTCTCTCGGTGGAGGCACTTCACGATTTTGGATGCATACCCATTCCGGTAACGTATATTATTATGAAGTTACCCTCGAGCGAAATGCCAAGGATCACATCGTCGCGGTGAGTGTCCCCAAAGATGTCGCGAGGAAAGTTGAAAACCCCAATGAAGCATATTTGGTGGATTTGCCAAGTCCACATGTGTATCGGTTCCAAGTTGATGGCGATGGGTTTGTTACCGCCATTGAGGAGTACCCGGCATATATCAATCCATAGACTTATATAAGATAACAATACTATCGAAATTGATCTTTATGTCCATTTTTCTTTCCACTAGACTAGTTTAGACGAGAAGCAAGTCTCTTTAATATATCCAATGTGACATTAACCAGGCCATAATGTTTCTGTAAACATGACCAAGTTCAGAGTAAATAAATCTTTGAATGACATGTCTTGTTAATCATGGTTTTAACTAAACAAAATGGATCTTTACAAAAAAGCACAGAACACATTTCAACACCGGGTTTATTTGTTTAAAAATTCTAGGCCACTAGATGCAATTTCCCCAAACACTGAATTGCAAACACCACAACTGCTATAATCAGTTTATATGTATATCTGATTATGTGTCTTATAGCAGGTCAAGATAGCTACAAGCCAGCATTTTGAGCCTCAAGTTTTTTTTTTTTTTTTTTTTTTGATTCAATGATTTAAAATACTTGGGTGGATGTATCTTAATAGTTTTTTTTTTAATAAGCGCAATAAGATCAGATTTACATAATGAAAACATTTATCGTAAAATAGTATTTTACAAAGAAATTATGCAACCGTTGTCCTGTTTTAATAAATTGCAACATATTTGTCCAATGAAAACAGTTTAAAATTTTTCTCGAACTCGTGTAGCTAATACACACGCCCCATGAAATGCGCAGGTTTAAGTTGTGAAAGCAAAATGCCAAGATGCTGAAAGTTTCGCAAAATGAGAAACCAGAAAGATGCCACCGCTGCTTACATGAGCATCAGTTATAAACCAAATGGCCGTAGACTAGTTTATAATCGTATCCCACTTATTAAGTTTAATACTGAGACAAGCTAGTGATGTTTACCGAAAAGCTCTGCCTTTAGATCGAGCCATCTAAATCAGCAATTTAAACTATTGGCAGAGTCATGTTTTCTTTTTCAAATCTTGAATTTCAGACAGTTTTATCAACTAAAGAAGTTTCCTTAGAGAATCCTGTACAAATTAAAGTACAGATGTGTCTATGCCCAGACCTAGCTGTAAACGTTTTGTTTTATTTAAAGCTAGTAAATGTTGATAGTACAGACGGTACTGGCAAGGCGTGCAAGGACCGGTCAAGACCTCCAAGGCAAGACGGGGGTCGGTAAGAAACAGCTTTACTGAAATAAAGTGTCCGTGATGTTTAATATTCCAGGTCATTTGTACTGAATGCTAAACATGTACATAGGGAATATGTTGCAGAATTAAACTTGTTTTCTTCTTCCTTTTAACTGCATGAAGTTATTTGTGTTTAGCATAATACAAGTGGGCTCTTCAAAGAAGTCACCAAAGCACTGAAACTGTCTGGGCCCTATAAACACAGACCTTGTAATGACTCCCCTACACAATTTTGTACCACAAAATGTTGTCACCAAAACATCAGTAGTCTGCTAAGACACTATATATAGGGGCTCCCCTCCGTATATAATGTCTGCTTAACTTTTCGATCACGGTCTTATCAAGTATATCTGTCATTAAACTATACTAGTAATACACTTACAAATATCTGGTTTACATCCCACTTGTTAGTAACCTGAGATTGTTAAGTCTTTATTACTTATAAAGTTTGGCAAGGGCTACAAGTTTGCCTTCAAACAAGTATATGCATCAAATGACTTTAAAAAGCATGAACGGATTATAGTTACCAGATTATATTTGTCAGCTCGTGGTCTTATGGTGGAGAAAGTGGCGCTGGACGAGGGCTCCGTATGACGTGCATTTGCGGGAACGTACAAACTGTGGAACACGTTCACTTCAGGCTTCACAGAGAAATTCACTAACTTCAGAGTTAACGAATTTACTAGCAATATATACATGAGCATTTGTTTATTTTTCAAATTCAATTTTGACTGCTTGACTTGATGATATTGTAAAAGTGAAAAATGTGTATATGCTTCTACACAAAATTCAGAATAATATAAAGATAATACTTATCTATTTATTGCAGTCTGCAAGCCAGTAATCGAAAGGCATTTAGTGATGTTCATTATCCATAATTTTCAAACAGTTTACTGCCAAATCTATTATTAGGTGGACCAAAGCAACGAAGTGGTTTAATTTTTCAGAAACTCAGGTAAACTTATACATGTATATATTCCACTTGTATAGACCATCAACATTATCCAAGAAAGCGGTGAGCACACATTGGTCAACATGCTGGGTAAAATTTGATAGCAGAAGTAAGAGCAAATGATGTTTTCTTGTGAGCACATATTATAACACGATTCAGATTGTCTTAAGCGACTGTGTTGCTCAAATACTGGGTAACAAATGCGGGTTATCAATTTAAATTGCAAGGACCAGTTTTTAATTGTTTCTTCCAGCGTGTCGATCAGCAGACAATCCACCCGAAAATTGCTGTAATTTATGCTCCATAGTAAAAATTGCAGAGTAATTATCGAAAAAAAATTATGTTACTTTGAGCGAGTTATGCTGACGCGATTACTGTTCGGGTGCAATTTTAAGTAAGTATTACGAATAGTGATAAAATATATAACTCGAGAGAATTAAGCAATGACTTCACAGCTTTATCTTATACCTGCCGTGCATCCCACAGTATGCATCTTCAAGCTGAAGTCAACAATGGTGAAAATGCTGCTGTTTGTAGCGTGTTTAAGTTTGCTTATTTTATGTGGAAAAACAGGGTAAATATCTGGAAATAATATGACATTTGTGACAAAACAGAAGAGCATACCTTTTGTTTAAAACACGCAGGTACGTTTTTGTCAACTGGTGACCTTTTTGATATCACTTTCATTAGTTGATAAAAACAGAAGAAAGTTATGTCAAAGCCAAACGGTTTAACACGCGCGATTCGGGTAGATGTTCCAAATATCTTATTAGTACCAACAGCGTGACAACTGGCGGTACTCCTGGTTTTAGACCAGCCCCGTCTCGTACTGCTTCCCCGGTACCAAAGAAGTCTGATCAGCAGTCCGATTCAAACTGATTCAAACGAGAAGACAATACAAGAAACCTGAAATTGTAAAGTCCTTACTTATAATGTTTGGTTACAAGTTTGCCTTCAAGTATAATAGCCCGTGGGCCTTTAATCAAAGGCCCTTAGAGATGTCCATTATGTATATGATATTCAGACAGCTTACTGAAATGTTCATCAGAAACTTTGTTATCATTAAAGTGACGTCAGACATAATTTAAGTCTTTTATTTTTATAATTTTATATATGGGTGAGAGCGTCAGAGCCGATGCCATGACAATGCACTGGTTAAATTTGAAATTTCAGAGACCCCAGGTAATCACACACACACACACACACACACACACACACACACAACATAAATAAACACGTTTCAGATTGTCTGATTGACTCTCGTTGCTTCAATACCTGCAGAACGGTTGGGGAGGATCAAATTAAATTCGAAAGACCACTTGACTCATCGAGCGCGTTGAACTGACGAGCAGACAAACAACCCCATAACTGCCATAATTTAACCACGATAGTGTAAATTACCCAGGGATTTTAAAACCACCTCAATTGGTGTAATCTTTGCGCGAGTTATCCTGGCACGAAAACTGTCCGGGTGCAATTTTAAATAAGTGTTTGAAATAGAGGTAAAAATGTATATAAACCGGGAGAATTAAGCAAAGACTGCTCAGAATTTATCTTACACGGTACATCCCACCACTGAAGTCAACTATGATGAAAATGCTGCTGTTTGTAGCGTGCTTAAGTCTGCTTATTTCAAGTGGAAAAACAAGGTAAATATATCTAAATAATAATCTTGTGAAAAAAAAAACAAAAAACAGAAGCGCATAAGTTTATGTTAACTGGTGACGTTTTTTAAATTGCTATCATTAGCTGTTAAAAAATTAGAAAGTTGTGTAGAAGCAAACAGTTTTAACACTCGCTTTTCAGGCGGATGTTTACAATCGCTTCCAAAAATTCTGATAATTGTTTTACCATACAGTTTCATACCCGATTGTCAGCGTCCTCTAAGATAACATTCAGGCTTATGACATTCTGTCATCGGATTTCCTCTATCCATTCGTGTCTAAATATTGATGTTTCCGTTTCTGATCATTTAAGTTAATGTAAAAAAAAAATTAACTTGTAATTTCATGTTGACCCTTATTGCAGTAAGAGGCAAGTGGATTGCAAGCCAGGAGTACCACTATACCGCAGCGTTTTTGAACCAGACAGATTCACCATGGTCTCGGACGAAGGCGGCCAAGAAATTGCACTTGGGCCTCGAGCAGAAACGTGGACCTACACCACAGACTTCGATGACGACTGCGATATTGACATTTTGGCCGGCAACGGGGGATATGTGTATTTGCTGGAAAATACTGGCGACTCGAGCAATGTAAGTACCATGTCCTCCAGACTGAATTTATGGACCTAGTTTTGTTTTAACCTATTTACAAAATCTGTTTGTTGTGCTGTAAATATAATATTTTAACTTAGTTTAAGCCGTTATTTGCAAAAGGTCGCTTAAATTTTTACATAAATTGAGTCTTGGAATAAAGGACATAATTTAAGTCTTGTTTTTTTTTAAATTTTATATAAAATTATTTAAAGGAACATTTGAACCTAGTGTCGGTAAAAGGGTGGATTACCAGTAACGCATATAAACCACCTGTACTATTTTCTTATACGACTAAAATAAAGTCGGCATGCTAAGGGATATACCAAATCAATCACTGGATGAGCCATAAAAGAGCTTTTAAGTGCACCTTCTTCAAATTTTGGTTAATTGGAACAAACTATCTGACATACTTATCTGCCCCTTCATATACAGCACAGAGAGCAAGCAGAAAAAATCTTTCAATATTATTTTTCGGGTAATATGAAACGATGTTTTTTGGTATTTATGTAATTATAAGTTATAATATATGGTGGCATTTGGTTGACTTTTCTTGCAAAAATTTACTTAAAATGCATCTTTATATGTAATTTTAAATCTAAGACGCAGAATCTACTACGATTTCATAGGGCCGATTTGCAGCTCCCCGAAAGTTGACTACCGCCGACGGCACTGTCATAGATAAGGGTTATTGGAGTGGCTCACCGGTATTCAAGGACATGAACGGAGACGGCCTAAAAGATCTGCTTCTTTCTGAATGGGCTGGTGACCTCACCCTCATCTCTCTTTTCATCAACACTGGGACATCAAAACAACCTACGTTTTCTGCCCCTAAAGTTTTAATTAACAATAACGCTGGCGGTGTTCGTTTTGATGCAGCTGATTGGAACAACGACGGCCTGAATGATCTGGTGGTTGGGCCCGACAGGCAACCGTTTGCCTACTACCCAAATGAAGGTACAGCCTCAAGTCCCATTTTCAGCAGTTCAGCTACAAACATCCAGGATGGTTACACCACAATTACTCAACACTATCCTCGAGTTGTTGATTGGAGGGGTGACGGGAAAGAATATATTTTATACAGCGGTTATTATCCGAGCAGCGGCGTCCATATTTGGACAAAAGATCCAAAAACAGGAAAAGAAGAAGATGCCGTTCTGTTAGGCAGTGACGCACAAATTGGGAACAAAGTTGGGTACAGACTTTCATCCAACATGGCTGATTTCAACGGTGATGGTCTAACTGACTTACTTATTTCTGGTAAATTGGCCAAACTCGTTATATTTTGGGGCAAAGACATAAACCAGGTGACCCAGCACCACGTTGATGGAATTGCCGCCATACTGAGCCAGCACATCACAGACCTTGGATCAGTGATGGAGAGCAATGATCAGGTATGTGAGAAGTTGCAATTACACCAGGATGCTTTGTTGAAGATCGCCAACTTGCCTATGCCAGAGTCGTTCAAGGAATATTTTTTCAACACACTCGCAGCTCTGGTGCAAAAATACCCACAATACTTGAGCAGACAACGTTTTTCTTCCACATACCTAGCCCATTTCTCCTTCTATACCTGGATAATAATGTTGGAAGGAAGGGACGACACGAGAAGTAATCGACTCGGGTTGGCTGAAGTGAGTAATCACACAGGAAGTTTAAAGGACGTTCTTGTTGAGAGGGGAGTTATGTTGATAGACAATGACCAATCTTCAGAACTAGCCAATCGCCTGTTGAGAGATTATGTTTTGTCCCTGCGAACTGAATACTTCTGGATTGAGCGCATAAGTAAGCAATGTGCTCTAAGCGGCATTGACGGGAGCAGATATACCTACAGGCAGGTGCGAAAGGGCGGAGTAAACGTATTCTGTAACGATGAGCACAGCTCGACGAGAAAACACATCTTACCTGGTTGTAAGGTATGTAAAACGCATGGCAATCCGGTGGGAAACGGTCTTGTTTCTGTTGTTGCTCACGAAATTGGTCACAACTTCGTAGAATACCCTGGGGTGAATGCGAAGAGGTTCTTGTTGATGAAAAGAGCCTTACAAGGTAGTCCGGATATTTTCTGGCAGGATAACAATCGCTACGACTCTACGAAAACGCAGGAACATTTTGCAAGCAAAGGTTGGTTTAATCCCGGTTCCGATAATTGGAACTCGATTTTACATGCCTATTTCAATGGACAGTTCATTCCTGAAGCTGCTCAGTACCAATATCAGATCATCACTAATGCTAACCCAGGCTACGTTGGGCTTACTCATCCCCAGGAATTCTTCGCTTCAATCGCCCAATGCTTCTCTATGGACTCCAAGATGCTGATGGACATTGCTGTCGAACGTTTTCTTAGTACGCCATCATACAAAGAGTCCATAAATCAAATCTTGTTCTTGGTTGAGTACTACTCTCTCGGTGGAGGCACTTCACGATTTTGGATGCATACCCATTCAGGTAACATATATTATTATGAAGTTACCCTCGAAAGAAATCCCAAGGATCACATCGTCGCGGTGAGTGTCCCCAAAGATGTCGCGAGGAAAGTTGACAACCCCAATGAAGCATATTTGGTGGATTTGCCGAGTCCACATGTGTATCGGTTCCAGGTTGATGGCGATGGGTTTGTTACCGCCATTGAGGAGTACCCGGCATATATCAATCCATAGACTTATTAGATAACAATACAATCGAAATCGATCTTTATGTCCATTTTTCCTTCCACTAGACTAGAGGAGAAATAAGTATCTTGAATATATACAATGTGACATTAACCAGGCTATAACGTTTCTGTAAACATGATCAAGTTCAGAGTAAATAAATTTTTGAATGACATGTCTTGTTAATCATGGTTTTAACTAAACAAAGTGGATCTTTACAAAAAAGCACAGAACACATTTCAACACCGGGTTTATTTGTATAAAATTTCTAGGTCACTAGATGCAATTTCCCCAAACACTGAATTGCAAACACCACAACTGCCATAATCAGTTTATATGTATATCTGATTATGTGTCTTATAGCAGGTCAAGATAGCTACAAGCCAGCATTTTGAGGCTCAATTTTTTTTTTTTTTTTTTTTTGGATTCAATGATTTAAAATACTTTGGTGGATTTATCTTAATATTTTTTTAAATAAGCGCAATAAGATCAGATTTACATAATAAAAACATTTATCGTAAAAAAGCATTTTACAAAGAAATTATGCAACTGTTGTCCTGTTTTGATAAATTGCAACATATTTGTCCAATGAAAACAGTCTAAAATTTTTCTGGAACTCGTGTATCTAATACACACGCCCCATGAAATGCGCAGGTTTACCTGTAGGTTGTAAAAGCAAAATTCCGAGATGCTGAAAGTTTCTCAAAATGAGAAACCAAAAAGGTGCCACCGCTGCTTACATGAGCATCAGTTATAAACCAAATGGCGGAAGACTAGCTTATCATCGTATCCCACTTATTCAGTTTAATACTGAGACAAGCTAGTGATGTTTACCGAAAAGCTCTGCCTTTAGATCGAGCCATCTAAATCAGCAATATAAACTATTGGCAGAGTCATGTTTTCTTTTTCAAATCTTGAATTTCAGACAGTTTTATCAACTAAAGAAGTTTCCTTAGAGAATCCTCTACAAATTAAAGTACAGATGTGTCTATGCCCAGACCTAGCTGTAAACGTTTTGTTTTATTTAAAGCTAGTAAATGTTGATAGTACAGACGGTACTGGCAAGGCGTGCAAGGACCGGTCAAGACCTCCAAGGCAAGACGGGGGTCGGTAAGAAACAGCTTTACTGAAATAAAGTGTCCGTGATGTTTAATATTCCAGGTCATTTGTACTGAATGCTATACATGTACATAGGGAAAATGTTGCAGAATTAAACTTGTTTTCTTCTTCCTTTTAACTGCATGAAGTTATTTGTGTTTAGCACCAACCCTATAAACACAGACCTTGTAATGACTCCCCTACACAATTTTGTGCCACAAAATGTTCTCACCAAAACATCAGTAGTCTGCTAAGACACTATATATAGGGGCTCCCCTCCGTATATAATGTCTGCATAACTTTTCGATCACGGTCTTATCAAGTATATCTGACATTAAACTATACTAGTTATACACTTACAAATATCTGGTTTACATTCCACTTGTTAGTAACCTGAGATTGTTAAGTCTTTATTACTTATAAAGTTTTGCAAGGGCTACAAATTTGCCTTCAAACAAGTATATGCATCAAATGACTTTAAAAAACATGACCGGATTATAGTAACCAGATTATATTTGTCAGCTCGTGGCCTTATGGTGGGGAAAGTGGCGCTGGACGTGGGCTCCGTATGACGTGCATTTGCGGGAACGTACAAACTGTGGAACACGTTCACTTCAGGCTTAACAGAGAAATTCACTAACTTCAGAGTTAACGAATTTACTAGCAATATATACATGTGTATTTGTTTATTTTTCAAATTCAATTTTGACTGCCTGACTTGATGATATTGTAAAAGTGAAAAATGTTTATATGCTTCCACTCAAAATTCAGAATAATATAAAGAAAATACTTATCTATCTATTTATTGCAGTCCTCAAGCCAGTAATCGAAAGGCCTTTAGTGATGTTCATTATCCATAATTTTCAAACAGTTTACTGCCAAATCTATTATTAGGTGGACCAAAGCAACGAAGTGGTTTAATTTTTCAGAAACTCAGGTAAACTTATACATGTATATATTCCACTTGTATAGACCATCAACATTATCCAAGAAAGCGGTGAGCACACATTGGTCAACACGTTGGGTAGAATTTGATAGCAGAAGTAGGAGCAAATTATGTTTTCTTGTGAGTACATATTATAACACGATTCAGATTGTCTTAAGCGACTGTGTTGCTCCAATACTGGGTAACAGATGCGGGTTATCAATTTAAATTGAAAGGATAAGTTTTTAAGTGTTTCTTGTAGCGTGTCGATCAGCAGACAATCAACCCGAAAATTGCTGTAATTTATGCTCCATAGTAAAAATTGCAGAGTAATTATTGAAAAAAATTATGTTACTTAGCGCGAGTTATACTGACGCGATTACTGTTCGGGTGCAATTTGAAGTGAGTATTACGAATAGTGATAAAAATATATAACTCGAGAGAATTAAGCAATGACTTCACAGCTTTATCTTATACCTGCCGTGCATCCCACAGTATGCATCTTCAAGCTGAAGTCAACAATGGTGAAAATGCTGCTGTTTGTAGCGTGTTTAATTTTGCTTATTTTATGTGGAAAAACAGGGTAAATATCTGGAAATAATATGACATTTGTGACAAAACAGAAGAGCATATCTTTTGTTTAAAACACGCAGGTACGTTTTTGTCAACTGGTGACCTTTTTGAAATCACTTTCATTAGTTGATAAAAACAGAAGAAAGTTATGCCAAAGCCAAATGGTTTAATAAGCGCGATTCAGGTGGATGTTCCAAATATCTTATTAAAGGCTCGGTCACAACCGGACGCACGAATTTCAGGATCGTACGTCTCCTGCGATTTTTGGGTGTTGCGGAGGCCGTGGAGGTCGTTGAGGTAGAGGAAAATCTGCCTTGCGAGTGTGAAGGGCCACATGAGATGTCCTTTCAAGCAGGGACGCTAACTGCAAGGAGCGATGGCCGTGGAAATTGTACTCATTTCTTGAGATTGTCTTGCTTCCTGTGTACGTGGCACACACTCACCACTTACGGAGGGAATGCAACGCACGGCGAAAGTAGTGCCCTTTTGCGTTAGTTTTGCTTCACACTTGCCTCAAACGATTGTGGTGAAGTACTGACGGTGTACGTCAGTTTTGCCCCTGTTCTCCTCTTTCTTGTTCTCCCTCCTCCCTTTTTTCTACTATGTAAACTTCTTTCTCTTGCCTTTTGGAGGCATATTTGAAACTAAATTGAGCAAAAATTTGAAAATTTTGAAAATTGTTATACACGTTACACAGTCGACGTTCATTATAAAGACACGAGCGTGCGTCGTGAGCACGCCTTTTATACACCAGGCGTGGGGGTGACGCAACGGCGACGCATTCCCGGTATGCTCTAAAATTTGTTCGTTAGTTGTGAGGGCGTGCGCCTTACTCAACACGCAAATGGCACTTGATTCTTCATTGCTTGCGACGTGCGTCTTGCACAACGCGCGTCTCTCTTGCTAACTCCGTGCGAGAGGAGCAAGTTATGCTTGCGGCCTGTTCGCAGGCTATTCGTAGAATCTTTTGGACATGTCCAACATCCTCCGTACGTGCTTACGGGCTGTCTGCGAACTCGAAATTGCGTAAGAAGGACTTGCGTGGGACGTGAGATTCTGCGCAAAATTTGGACGCAAACAACCCGTAAGAGCCCGTACGGCCGGGTGTGACCGAGGCTTAAGGCCCCTTTACACTGGACGGCGTCCTTTCTGCGTCCCTTCTGCGTTCAAAAATGTGGTCAGGACGCTCAACGGCAAAGCAATTAAATCGTGTCTCTGTGTAAAGGCGTCTGCGTCCGTTGTGCGTCCTTTGAACGACCGAATCTTGATTTTACCTGTAAAACTGCGAGCAATCTGCCTGCCTCCACTGTACGTCCCCTGTGCAACCCAAGGCGTCCATTGCGATGTTTGAGCGACCATTGAGCATTCTTGCTGCGTTCTCTGTACCTTCATCGGCGATCAGTGGCGTCTATTCTACGATCATTCTGCATCCTGCTTGACCGATGAGCGTTGTTTGGGCGTCCTTCTCTATTTTCTAACTCATATTGTTCATCGGTTCTAACCAGGTCATCCAATAAAGAACATTTCTAGCACACAAAACAAATAAATGCCAATAAACGCTTTAAACTATAGTGATGCAAGGTCTGTATGGACTGATTATCGGCCAGAAGCTCATTGTTATCCTTATAAGAAGGATGGACAGGCGCCGAAAACGAGAAAGTGTGACTGACACAACATAGAATATTTGAATCCGTTTTCAAATGACGCATTCTGCAAAAAGTTCTGACAATTAATGCATCTTGTAAAAAAGGCAAAATATTCGTTTTATAAAAACCTCAAAAAAAAAAAAAAAATGGATCGTTTCATGAATTTTAGGGGAAAAAACAATTGGAGGCTGATATGAGACCACTGTTGCCCTTAGAATTCCTGTCTGGTGAAAAATACCTCAGCAGGGCCCCGTTTGACATTTAAAAAAATAATGCTCTACGTGCCGAACACTGGACGATCTTTGAGTTTTCATTCTGCAACCAAAGCGATGCTTGTGGCTCCTTTCTACGACCGCGGCGATGCTTGTGCGTCCTCTCTGTGACAACGGGGATGCTTGTGCGTCCTTTCTGCGTCCATTGAGAGACCATCCTTCACCGCGTTCTCTCTGCGATTATTTTGAACATGCTCAAAACTTGTGCGACCTTCGCGATCACTGTGCGTTCTTTGAGCGTCCGGCGGCGTCTTGGCCAGTTTCATGGTCGCACAAAGGACGCAGAAAGGACGCCGTCCAGTGTAAAGGGGGTTTTATTACCAGCAGCGTGACGACTGGCGGTACTCCTGGTTTTAGACCAGCCCCGTCTCGTACTGCTTCCCCGGTAAAAAAGAAGTCTGATCAGCGGTCCGATTCAAACGAGAAGACAATACTAGAAACCTGAAATTGTAAAGTCCTTACTTATAACGTTTGGTTACAAGTTTGTCTTCAAAT